CACTTAGTGTATATTTAGGCACTATATAGTCTATACAGTCTATAATTATGTATGTGTGTAAAGTCTTAGAACCGGCAAATAACTTCTAAGCATTAACTCATCAAATAAATGTAGTCACCACAATCACAAGTAAAAGCCTCATTTCTAGAGATCTACACAGCACCATATAGGAACATACAGGATCATATAGGACCCACTCAGAGGGACAGACAGAACTTAATTTCAGACACAGTAATCTGGTGTCAGTTTCTTTGTCTGGAATCATGTAAGTTCTAAATGGCTGAATGAAAAAGGCTGGTTTGGGTCTTCCATTTAGTGGAATGTAAATGCTCAAAACAGACAATTTTAGGAGGTTTCTACAGGACAGAGGTTGCTGTTTTCTTAGGGTTTTTTGGGGGGTGTGCTTATTGTTTTGGTTTCGGGGGGAGGGTTGTTGTGTGGTGGAGTTTTTTTTGTTTGTTTGTGGGGGTTTTTATTACTTTGAAGATATAGCATGTGGCCCAATCTGTCATGTAAAGGTAAATGTTAAATGTTTTCACTCTCTTCAAAATATTTCAGAGGTCTGCTCAGCCAGATAGGTGAGACAGGTTTTAAAAAATCTTGTGGCATGTAACATAAGAGGGATTATAGCACAGCTGAGAACAGACAAGGAAGCAAAAGAAAGCAAGTGTTGAGGCCAGTACTGGCATAGGAAGCTCTTCTACCTAATGTAACTGAATACTTCTTGTTTGTAACTCTTATCATGCTGCAAAGAAAAGGAGATACAAGTCAGCAACAGTTTTAAGCCATGTTATCATTTACAGCAGCTAGGTTATCAGGACCAAAATACATTTCCTAGACTTACGAACTCCTCACTGCCAAAGTCTGGCTATGTGAGAAATTCATTACGGTCCTGGGTTATGGCTTAAATTCTCTCATACACTCTGTTCTTATTCTCCTTTCCCTGGTGAGATTATACTCACATTCTCCATTCCTGAACTTCAACTGTTGTACATGAACACAGATCAGCATCTACATGGGAAATATCACACAGTTTTCAACTGCAACATCGAAAACTAATAGCAAAAGGTACATCAGAATGAAGTTTAGCTATTCTTTTAAAAATTCAGGGGACAGAGGGTAAGTATTCCCTAACTCAAGGCAAAGCAATAAAGAAAAGAATTAGCAAGCACAGAAGCTGGGTGAATAATAAATATACCCACTAAATCAGGCACATTGAACTGATAATTTAACACCATGAAAGGGATTACAAATCTGCAGTGGCGCAGTGAAACATTAAGCTCTGCAGAGATTTAGTGCAAACAACACAAGATAGCTTTAAGGGTTGACAAAAGATAACAAAGAAAAAGCACAAATAGTGTCACAGATTTCATAATACTAAAAGACATAAGACCATAAGAATCTAAACATGTAGACACTACACCACTCTTGGCATTGGCCTAATCTCTACCCTTTCAAGCAGGAGTTTGGCTGGCAGATAGAAGTAAAAAACCAACCAAACAAAACACTTCATTAGGGACAAGCTATCTCAAACGAGGAAAAAGCTCTAAAGTAAGCTTTGACAATTTGAAAAATCAATTCATGTGCCTAGATTCATACTTTAAAGAAATATGAATCCCTAACCTAATCTATTACAAAGTAGGACAAGAAATAAATCAAATCGTTTTGATAGTCTCCTGAACTACTTCAATGCTGATCTCTGTTGAAGAGTTGGACTACTACTGAAATGTGAATCTTGCACAGATTAATATTTTATAGTTCTAGGAGTAGCATCTCAGGCTAGGATTAAGACATATGGCCAAGAAATAAAATCAGATCATGTTCTAAAATGTATTAGCTATTGCTAACCTGATTTCACTTACTACACTTCCCCTTTTTCCACTAAAATTATAGATCTGAAAGACCAGAGTTTTCCATTCAATCATGGATGAAAAGAAAAAAAAATGGAAACAATAACTAAAGCTGATCTGGTAAATGAAACCATGTCAGCAAACACAGACTGTACTGACATTTATCACAGATAATAATGATTTCATAAATACTTACCAAATGACATATCAAAAAAAGTTTGCTGATAAAAGAGTACTTATCTATATTCTCCATCAAGAGTTCCTACACTGATTGAATTTTAAATGTTTCAAATTATAATTTTCTGAATTCCAGAACATTTTCTTATCTACCTAATCTTTATCAATGAAAACAAACAAGAAAGCCAACCTCCCAGTCTTTAATACATTGGCAATAAAGTTTTGTAAGAACAAAGTTATTTAAATGGCATTATCTGCTATTTGCCTTATCCTATATTGCCATTTTTTCCCCACTGAGTGCTAATAAGCGCTTGCTGCTGAAGAGGTTTACATTTAACATCTGCCACTTGTATCCACAAGTAGCACCTACAGGGAACTGTCAAATAGATTATTATTCTCCTCTGTAGCACCAGCAAATCTGTCTCACATCATTTACATACAGATACTTATAGGCATTCATCATTTTATTATGCTGACTGCCTCACTATTCTAATGTATAATGTCTCTTTAATGAGCCTCAAAAATACAATATTCCTTGATTTACGACTGCTTAACTGAAAAATACAGATTGACAAAAACTCAAACTATTTTCTGTGTTCTTACTGCCTTGCACTTTAAATTTAACAACTATTGAGTTAATCTCATGATTTATTTGACAAAAGAAATTATCAAATTTTAACACACTAGACTTCCCAGTCACTCTTGTTTTAAAAAACACACTTTCACATCAACAAGAAAGCTGTACAGAATTTGACAAATTAAAATCAATCACTTTTTGTCCAAGAAATAAATGTATTGGACAATCTGTTTCAATATTATTATATGTCAATTACTGCATACTTCCTAACTTATCATGTAGAATACTGCTTTACCAGTCATGCACAAGTGACTCATAAATGAACCAATTTACATGTTCAAGTAAATTGAACTATGCTTTATTGTATGAATTTCAATTATTTTATACACAAGTGGTTACCACTGAGCTCAAAACTCATCTCTGCCATTAAAAGCGTGCTGAAGTATTACAAGCATACCTAAAACACCAAACAGAAAGCTGAGAACAAGAGGCAAGTAATTCATTCACTTGGCTGCACTCAAGCATTATATGGAGTTCAGTTCCTCCAGCTACATCTCTGTGTGTTTATAAATGATACCAGCATTCTGCTGGGGGCACTGATTTTGACTATCCAAGCTGAAAAGGTTTGCAAACAGTGCTCATCTTAGCCATTGGAAGCAAGAATTTTCACTAAGTAAGTGTGAGAAAACTTACAATACTTTGTTTCTGACAAATTTACAACACCTAGTTGAATGTTTTCAGTGTTTTCAGAAAGTGTTAAGCTCTATCTGAAGTTTCTCCCGTAAGAGGTAACTTTCTACTGCCCTGACCAGTAGTTTGAACTTACATATAGGCAGTCAGAAAAACAACCCTCTCTCCTCCACTCATTCATTTCCATGCAAGCTTTAGAAACACAGTATTGAACCCTTTCACTCTTTCAAAATGTCACCCTTCCAGCAGTTTCAAGTATACATGCAGATATAAACAAATGAGCACTAATTTAACCTTACACTGATTAATCACATAAGCATCATTTCCTATTGCCAAATCATGAAGCCAGGCTAAAAAGACTATCCATTCAATGCAGTAGAAACATAGAGAGATTTAAGCAACAGATGGCAAGCCACAATTCCTAGATCCTTACAAAAACTCAACTTTAAGCAAAAAATCACACAACACAATTTACAATATTTACTACTGCATATTTAAAAGCCTCTTCAGTAGATGCAGATATATTAGGATATGACAATAAATTGCAGAAGTTAAAGTTATATGTTTGACTCTGAGAGTGTTAAATGCTCAATAAAAGAAAAAAACTTATTTCATAATTTTGAACCCATATTTTAGTTCCCTTGCATTGATTATTACATTTAAAATTGATGTCTGAATTTCAATGATTTCAAGGAGTCTAACTATACATGTATTACCTCTCATCAACACTGTGTTTTTTACCTAGGAGTATTTCCTTGTATGCACATTTTAACCATATAAAATGACAACCTATCCAGTAAGTCAGTATAACATTCTCTTTCTTCCCCCCCTCCCCTCTCCCTTAGTTAATAAATCACAAAAATTCCACTGTGTTATTTCATATGTGAAATTTATAACTCTGAATCCTGAGAACTATTACAGTAACCCAAATACCTGTTACAAATAACTGAAGACCCAAATTTATACACCTGGATACATTTATACATACCTGATCTCAAAATACCCATTCATTCCCATAACAATAAGGAAGTTTATATCTTAGCCTGTAGTACTATGATAAAATCCAATTAAAAAAAAAACAAACAAAACAACAACAAAACCAAAAAACAGTTATTTACTATTCACAGCACATTTTTAGACTGTCATTCTGACCATCTCAGAGTTATCTTTCTGTGTCCCTTGACAGTAACTGTGAGGCACATAATCAGGAATAACCATGGACAACAAGTGTATGCTATGTGGGTGTTGATGTGATAATGCTGTACTAATAATGCTAATTTAAAAGTGAGAAGAGATGATCTGTTGTTAGTCTTAGTAACACAAAGAGAAGGTGATAAAAACAAAGTAAATACAGCTACACCTACAGCCCCTTCAAGTTGCAGCTCTATTTCTTTCCATTCCTGCCTTGCAACTTCACTGCTACACATCCTGGTATACAGAGTTACCACTTCTGGAAACTGGCTAATAGCATCCGTGACTCTTGATTTTCCTTCCTCAATCTGAATTTTAGAAAAGACAGTGGAGGAATATGTGTCAGAAGATGATTTAAGCTTTCACATTGCTCATTCTTATGACTGCACGTAAATATATGGCAATGTTTCTCTGGTAGAATGCTAAATTAGCAATTTTCCTTGTAGAGAATTGAACTACCCAGGAACTCAACAAAATTTTATACAGCATGTTTCACACTGATTGAGCCTACTTACAGGAAGACAGTGTTGTAAATGGATTCAATACTTCAATCAGTGTAGTCTGAACATTGGAAGAAAATCCAGAGTGTGTTCTGTGATTAATTTTTTGTCTTTATGTAGATACACCTAGGAAATAACAGTGTAGAGCAAGTACAAATACAGAAAATAACACAAACCAAATTATTAGAAAAAAAAATATGTTGACCAATAATTTACTGCAAAGTCAGTTCCTTTATTCATCAGTATGAAATTACTACATTATAGAAGACAAAAGTTTAAATTTTGTCTTTGTTTAATCCTGTGTACCCAAGTGATTCCAGAGTTGTTGAATCTCAAGGCTGGCAAGTAGACTCAAACAGCTGCTGTCATTACACCTAAACCAGCCATCTGGTGGCATGAGAGGAGAAATATAATGACTCCAGAAGGAACTGGTCCAGCCCTTCAGAACAGCGCAAGGTTTCCATTCAGCATGCAGAACAACTGTAGAATAGAATACCTGAAATAAATAGTCATATTTATTTTAACAATAAAGTTAATTCATAATTTTTATTTCATCTTTCAGTAGAAACAGAAGCGCAGCTTCTATTCCTTTTCCTCATTCCTACTTACAAACTTGGCAGAATTCTACAGAAAGTGACTTAAGAAGTAATAGGAAAAAGGCATAAAGAGGACCCGTTTATATGTCTTGGGATTTCTTATAGGAAGCAGGGTTCAGCTGTATCCTGCTTCACATCCAAATCAGTACTGACAACTGCCAATTCAGTCTCCCTTTAAATAGCTTAAGTCAAAGTTGGACTATTCTCCAGATTAAAAAAAAATAAAATAAAATTAAAATCTACCCCAGGAATTAGCCATTCTTACTTTTCAAAGACTTTTTTCTTACCTCTTGCATCTAGGCTTTGCTACTTCTTGTCACAGGTAAACCAGAGATAGCAAAGTTGTGGTGATCTCTTCTTGCAACAAATTCATATATACTTATCCTCACTTTTCTCACTTCCTAAATCTAGTTCTAATGCTTCCTTTGATGCCTTTAATAACTTTGTGAACTATCAGTACCAAGGTACATTGTGTTGTTTATCCTTTTTCAAAACTTAAGACAACTTGAGACTATGAGGGGTTTCTCTGGATGCTTACATATTATGCTGCTAAAGTTCTGCAGAGAAAGAGCTCTAGTGGATCTTGTTTTACCAGTTTCAGATATTGTAACCCTTGTGCCTCTGCCACAGACTATCGACTCAGTAAAGGGGTATGCAGAAATGAATATACCATGCCTCAAACCCCTAAAGGGTGATAGAAGCAGTAATGCTTTCAGATTTACCAAAGGATGTCTTTCAGTCATTTTAACACTTCTTGAGCTCTGCTACCACTGTTATGAAGGGAGAGCAAACACTTGTGTAAGGAGGCAAAAATTCTGGAACCAGCTACACATGAAACAGTATGGCATGGGGAATACAGTGTCCCAATATTCTTCCCTGAAGCATTAGAGGAGATTCCCCATCTTGTACTTGCATAGTTACTTACTCCTACTTAGTACTTGTGCTTGTTCTTGCCGAACTGTATGGCTATTATTTTCTATTGTTTCTGGAATTGTGATTGGTTTGTACTTGAATCCTGTCTTTAATATGACTGCAGCAAAAGTAGCATCTACTCAATTACTGGAACTACCAACAAAGTTATGGAATAATCTTAGACTCAGTAAAAATTCTTAAGAAACAACACTCTTCACCCAGCACCGCCTCCAGTTAGGGGAAAAGCGTGACTATGAATGAATAAAAAACTTCCCCCCCATCCCCTCAAAAAAACCTTAACTTTAGACCAGTCTTATTTAGACCACAATTCCCTAGCTCATGTAAGAGAATGCAATGTGACATTATCAAAACTGCAGTTTACTAAATCCAACTTACATAGTATTGCTTCTACCCCTTAAGGCATACTGTGATATTTTTTTAAGAGATAGGGCAGGTCTGACTTGTCTATAAATCTATACTAGCTGTTCATTCTCACCATCTCCTATAGAAGCTTAGGAAGAATAGATTGATAATTTAAGATCCCTCATGGAAATTCAGCTCAGAGGTATCTACAGTTTCTTCAGGTATTACAGCCCTTTTCTGAGCTTTTGAAATTTCACCATCCTTATCTTCTCAAATAAGTTGTTACTATACATCTTGTAAACATATGTTTTCCCAATAGATGCATGTCCTGGGTTCAGCAGTAGCAGTCATGTTTTTCCTTTGTGGTAGCTGGTGCAGTGCTGCACATATTCTGGCTTTCTAAATCATACAGACAATAGTCTCTGCAAAAAATCAAGACCTGAACAAAGACATTTCATTGTTTCTATTTGAGACAGACTTTCAGTTATATAATTTGTACAGATTTTTTGAGACTCATTTTAGTGTCAAAAACGTCTCATTTTGAGACTTCTGTACTCATTTTAAAAACTGAGTCTCTATGTAATTAATAACTAAAGTCATTGCATTCTAATGTATCACACATTATATATTTGAATATATAATTGCCCCTGCAATTTGAATATATGATTGCCCCTGAAAATGCCCCTACATTTTCTACTGCTTTCTGTACACTGCTCACCTCAAAGAGGCCAACAGAACACAAGATAAGTAACTGACTGTTTATGTTTCATTTGTAAGGTTTTATGCAATTGCATATGGTTTTGTCCCACCATTTCCTTTGATCTTTCAGATAAGAGTTGAGTAACAGTATATTTAGTTGTTTAGCTTGCAGTAATTTCCATGCACAGAATGGGTTTTCCTATTCTTCCAGTATGTTTAAAGAAGAAAATGCTATTATTGTTTTTAAATACAAATGATTTTCAAAATGGATACTCCTGTTTTGGGACATCTACTGGGTTCTTTAAAAAGAGAGGTGTATTCAGATTACTGGGATTATTTTCCTTAAAGGAAAGAACACAAGACAAAACCAGATGACTCTAAAACCATGCAGAGCAAGTGTCTCATTTCCCCAGGTTCACCTGTGCTAGTTCACAGGGGAGACAAGAGGTCTCAGTTAACCACGTGTACAAAATCTCCCCAACATAGCCTACCCTTCACTTGATCTCTGTAAAAAATCTGAGCTTAATGTTGTTTGGTGTTCCTTCACCTCGCACAGAAACTGGTGAAGGGTGTGGGCACTGACTGGGGTGCCTCTTGTATAAATTAATGAACTACATGCTCACAGCAACAAATGATTTTATGCCTTTGTCAACTGGGGTTTTTTGGTGGTTTGTTTTTTTTTTTCAGCTACTCTAGATCAGTTTTGCCCTTCTTTTTACTTCTCAACATTTGGTCCAATTTGGTCTAATCTGCTTTAATATTGGGATAGAAATTAGGGACTATGACTTGCCACAAACCTTAGTATATACTGTATACTTGCATTACAGAATTATGAGCAAAATTATAGTTCACTGCATGCAGAAAGTTTCAGACAAGAAAAGTCTACACCAAAATGCACTGAAGTTCATCTTCTTTCCCATACCGCACACAGCCTTCTGCTTAAACCAGGCCTTGGGATAGTTGTCTCTTTGGCATATAAAAACAATGAGAAATATCAGCTATTCCTGGCAAAAAGACTATGTTAACATCTGTATCTCATTTAAGTACTAGATTAATTTTTTCGTAAGACTTTCTTCTTTTCTACTCCTTAATACTGCACCCTTAACACATAAAATGACCCTAAGAAAAGCAGTTGAGCCCTGTAATTCTACTACTTCCATGATAATATCATCCCAGATAAGGAATATCTATCAAAATACTGTCAGAAAATCATCTGTTCCTTCCAGTCTCCCTTTTCACTTTATTTTTCTTATCTTCCAGCAGCACATGCCTGGGTTTCTACTCAACATCCTTCACAAAGCTCATAAATATAAAAAATAAAATAAAATAAAATAAAATAAAATTAAATTAAATTAAATTAAATTAAATTAAATTAAAATAAAAATAAATCAAATCCAACACCACTGGAAAAAAAAAAATCCAACACCTTTTCCTTTCCAAGGCTGGACTTTTTTTAAACTCTTATTTATCTTCCATAACAAAATGGTAACCTGTCTAAAAACTTTTTATGTTTTCTAAAACCCTTCCAGTGAGAAAGCTGAAGACTCACCGCCCACATCGCATACGTTCTGCTCTAAAGCCGCCCTCAACCTGGCTCCTCTCCCTACCTACAGCAGCGGCTGGCTCTACAAGGGCCCTCAGAAACTTCTGGCTCCCCACGCACAATTTGTGCCTAACCATAGGCCACCTCCCTTGAACTACACAGCTTAAGGCTGAAAAATAAGTCTTTAAAGGATGAGAAGCACAGTTGCAAGACCTACAAAACACTTCTAAAAACATCCGTGCTTCTTGGGAGAGCCCTATACCTCAACAAGCAACAAACACCGAAGAGCATACAGAACACAGACAGGAACCATGGCTCCTTCCCTCAGTGGCACCTGCCGTCGGGCAACGGAGCCCGCTTGCCAGCCGCCACGGGCAGGGAAGGAAACAGGGAGGGAGCGGCTGCCTGTCGGCCCCTGCTGTGCTGGAGGGATCCTGGTACTGCGATAAGCGGCAGAGCCAGGGTCTCCGTTGGGGTCGTTCCCAGCGGCAGGGTGAGGCGAAGCACGGCATGTGGGCCCTGAGCCTGTGCCATGCCGGGAGCGGCTGCAGAGGGGCTGGACGAACAGGTAGAGGCCACCAGCACTGGAGGGGTTGCCTGGAGCTGCAGAGCACCGGCAAGGTGGAGGCTCCGAGGAGCTTGCAGCCATTGCTCTGTGGGATAGGGTTCCTAGTGATAACCAAGCAGCAAACAGCTGAGGTAGTCCACATATTTTTCCCCATAGTTTTCACTGGTAGGGCTTCTCTTCAAGGATTCTGGGTCCCTGGGCCTCCTAAGTTTGTGGGCATGAAGCAGCAGCCACAAAAGAAGGTGGAGCGGATCACTTAACCCACTTGGATTTAGACAAGTTAATGGGCCCACATAGGAGGCATCCCCAGAGATGCTTACGGAATTGGCAGGCATCACTGCAATATTGTTGCGTGTCCTGCTTGAAATGTTTGTGATGACAGTCACAGTCACAGTCCTCCTCAAGACAAGCAAAAAGCAGGATCCAGGGAACTACAGGCTGGTCAGCCTGAACTCCCTCCCTGGAAAAGCTGTGGAGCAAATCTTCCTAGAAACCATTTCTTGCCTGAGCAGATCATGCCTGACTAACCTCATTGTTCTCTGTGGTGAGGTGACTGGCACATGTGGACGTGGGGAAGGCAATGGATGTTGTGCATCTTCATTTTAGCGAGACCTTTGGCACAATCTCCTTATTGTGAAGCTGGTGAGAAATAGGCTGGACAGGTGGATCAAAAGGTAGATGGAAATTTGGCCGAACTGCCAAGGCTTCAGAGTTGCGATGGGTGGTGCAAAGTCCAGCTGGCAGCCAGCCGTTTAGTATCTTCATCAACAGCCTGGATGACAGAGAATACTGTCAAGCCTGTTGGTGACACTGAACTGGAGGAGGCAGTGAATACAGCAGGTGCCATGGCTGCTAGTTAAGAGGAACCTGAACAGGCCAGAGAAATGGGCTGACCAGAAGCTCATGGAGTGAAACAAGAGCCAAGTGCAAGGCCTTGCATCTGGGATGGAAACACCCCGTGCAGGAAGGTGGGGCAGGCTGAGGACCAGCTGTCTGGTAAGCAGCTCTGCAAAGAAGGCCTTGAAGGTTCTGGTGGCCAAGTTGAACAGGAGCCAGCAGTTGTACTTTATGCAGCATAGGCCAGCTGCATGCTAGTATGACAGAATGTAGGCAGCATACCCAGAAAAGTGATTCTTCCCCTCTGCTTGGAACTTGTAAGACCACATCTAGTGTACCATGCCCAGTTTGGGGCTCCCTAGTTCATGAAGGATATCATCATACTGAGTGACTCCAGCAAAAGGCCAACAAGATGGTCTGGGGACTGGAAAGCATGGTGTATGAGGAGAGCTGACAGCACTGGGCCTGTTAAGCTTGGAGAAGAGAAATCTAAGGGGAGACCTTATTCCTGAGTACAACTACATCAGAAGACACAGAGAAGATGATGCCAGCTACCTATCACAGGAGCACAGTGATAGGACATGAGGTAATAGAAACAAATATAAACATGAGACATTTCAATTAGATACCCGGAGAGGGGTGGTGTGTGGAATTACCATGATGGTAGTCAAACATGGCAGCAGGC